CCAGTCATTCCTTTCCTTTGGTGGTTAGACGTTAATGACGCTAGACCAATAGGTTTAGACAAGTGGTTTTGTAACTTGACTTAGAAGCTTACAAGTCTACATCTCATTATCTCAACAATACTTGCTTACTGATTTACGCAGTCTCGGTCGGAGCTTGTTCTTGGGTCATTAAGCCTTGATGACGAGATGATGACATTAGCCTTTTGATTACTCTGAATTAGGACCGGTATTGCGTATAGACGTTAAAACACCCACGCATGCAAACAATCGAGCAAAAGTAGCAGGACGAATAGGACAGATAATTAAACAAACCTCTTTATATCTATCTAGTTTTTTACATTATCTTCTGATTAATTTAGTCTATATAATAGGTAAGATAAAGCCGGATAGTCTTCTTGACCGAGTGTTAACGTGAGACTTTTACAAGAATGGGTTCCAGCTCTCATGATGTCCATCATATGATGGTCGAAAGCTCAGCCCGTTTTACCCCAAAATGAGGGAAAAGGCTTCATGGACTGCGTCAACCTGAACGTCGTATAAAAGCCAAACGGCTGAAGTGCAACGAAATTCATCCGTCCTCTTATGAGATCGGCCTACGAATCTCTTCTCTGTGCACTTTCATACGAAACGAAAGTCCCTCCAGCAATGTTATCTCAGGAGATTCATCGAAACACAGTTTCTCTTTGTTCCTATGAACAATTTTGTTTTACGAGAACAATGTCAGCCCGAATATATGAAGCGAAATGAGACTGCGACGAAATCAAGAATAACATCATATTTGTTTCAAATTGGAGAAAGTTTGAATAAATTCGACCCAAGAAACTATATCCTAGACGGACTCAGTTAATAGTAAGCTTTTGAGCTGTCCAGACAATAGTTTAAAATGCGAGGTACATTAAAAAAGAAGCGATTTGAGGTTAAGGGATTGTGTAAAGTGCTCTTGATCCAAGCGGCATCATAGTTAATGATGAGGAATAGGTATTAAATGGAGCTTTGTATATTTCGTTTCGAAACTGCCAGGAGGCTGAAGGTAGTCTAGGTATGGTAGTATCGACTAGATTCACTTTGGAGTAAAGAGCAAAAAAGCCCGATGTGACTTAAAGAGATATTAACACGATACTTCAAGACAAAAGGCTAAACCCGTCAGCAGTTAAATCTAGAGTTCGAATCAATTAGTATTGATTCAACAAAATCCAAATCACACTATCTAAAAATTTAATAACTACTCAACAAGTTATATACCTACTGACTTACAGAAGTCAATCAGATGTATATCGAAATACCCATCTAGCTATCAACCTACCTGATAATACGTCTACTACGAACCAAAACATATACATAACTCTATTAATATGTACTTGTCTATCAACCGCCCAAACATCCTCTACACTAGCGGCCTAGGTAGCAAACAGCCGGCCTACAAAGTTAGTCTAATAAATACCTTAAACCTCACAACCTCCCTAATTGCATTTCTAACTTCCTACATTCATACGAAACTGTCTACTAGATTAAGACTTAACAACATGGCTAACTGCATAATTATCTATCTAGTAGCCCACTCAATATCCTACCTAAATAACAACATACCAATCTATCTACCTTACGACCCAATAACGTACCAAGCAAACTACCTAGACATCAACATAACAAACTCATTAGCGAGTTACATACATAAGCATATAATTTCCTAACGACCTCTCTAGGCAACACACTATCTGCTTATGTATCTACCTGTTAGCAACCAACTTACCAAGTGACCTACCTCCAGACCTACTTACCTAGTTAGCACATACCTATCTCCCGACTAACTACCTACATATCTACATGAATACCAACGTAACTAATTCCTTACTTACCTATCTACATGCCTACTTAACTGTAGACAAACTTACATGCCAAAGGTCCTACTCTCGCTGACGATGGTGAAAGTGAAACTGTGAGTCACTTTGGTTTAACATATATTTCAGAGGCAGTTCTTTTTAAAACAACAAGTATTTTCTTCAGTTTATTGTAAGCAAACCAACTTTAATTGAAGGTATGAAGACCAAGATGGTGTGGCCTTTAATGTGGTCGCAGTCTCCTTTCGTTGTATAGAAGTTGTTTGACCTTGATTTCGCAACTTGGTCACATTGGTAAGAAGACTTAGATAAACGCACCTAGTCTGGAGTCCACTGTATGCATGATCATGTCAAAAGTCGGACTGTGGACGTGGAACATTCTCAGACGTTCGCCGGCATCGTAATCAGGAGCGTCAGTGAGTCTCGCCATTCTTAGCATCGTACAACAACTCGTCAAAGAGACAAGTCAAGCTGATCCT